GAAGGTTTATGTTCAGGTTTTTTTTGCGTTAAGATCTTAACGAAGGTTTGGCTTTCTGAAGAGCCCCTTTCTGTTCTTCTTCTCTCTCGCAAACTCACCGCCGGGAAACAAATCAACAACAGTTTAAGATTATGAAGACAGAAAAACAAATAGAACACTTACAGAGTTGGAGCAAATCCGACAAGTTCCCGCGCTAGCGACGAGGAGTTGGGTGATGGAGACTTGAGCCTGCGATGCAAAGCTTTTGTTGGATCGGTACCACCAAATTGCCAATACCGAAAACGGATAAGTTGGATCTTTAATCTTTTGTCTTCAGTTTTGTGTGTGTGGATATTATGAAGGTTGAATATTGTGGCTTGTTTTTTTTTCAAGATGATAATGAGGTAGCTGTGGAATAGGGGAAGTGTTAGGAGTGATCAAGGTATGGAGCGAAAGTGTCGTTTTTGTGTGAGTTGGAGAAGATAATGAAGTTGTTTTTTGTGGAGGTGAAGGTTAAAGGATTGTTGAAGAAGATTGAGAGATGGAAGGTTTTATTGTTTTCTGTATCTTAAATTCATGGAAGGTTTTGTTGTGTGTCTTTCAAATGATGTTGCAGAATGTTAATGGAGGTTGTGTTGTTGAAGAAAAAGTGAGAGAGAGCTTTTTGTGTAGTGAGAAGAACAAGGAGTGTTTTCTTTTATTTTCTTTCAGCCAAGATGTCAATGTGAGCCTCCCTTTCTTAAGGTATATTGGTTGTTTTTTCTTTATATGTTGAAGATTCAATGAAGTTGAAAACAAGGTCTTTGGTCGGTTGCCCTCTTTTTCTTCAAAATTCAAAGTTTGTCCCATTATTGTATTTTCTGATCTATTGTTTTCATGCTGCAGACTTTGTTGGTTGCCGTGTTGGGTATGTTTCTGCAGGCTTGTACGGTTTTCTTTCAAATGTGGTCTGGCATGGCTTGTGTAGGCTATGTATTTTAGTGCAAGTCCATGAGAGTATGGTTTTATGCAGGAACTTGTTAACACCGTTTTAGGAAATTTTGCAGGTTTGTGGGCTGCTGCTGCAATTTGCTGTGGCTGCTTGTATGACAATTGTGGGGACCGATTTTTTTTGTCATTTGTACAGGCTGTGATATGCTTTTTCGTAGCAGGTTTGTATCGGTTTTGTTGTGGCCTTGGTTGCTGATTGAAGATGAATGAGGAAAAATCCTGAGTAGGTCGAGTAGTCCTATTGTCTTCAAATGTAAGGAGCTGCTTTTTTTTTATGAAAGTTTTCTTCTTGTTCTTTTTCATTCCATTTCCCCAACCTCTTTCATCTGCTGTGAGTTGGGTTTGCTGGTTTTGTTGGGAATTTGTTTTCAATTTGCTAGCTGAAAGTTTTGTTTTGCAGGTTCGAACTTGTCCGGTTTATGCAGACTGTGTTGATAGTGGGCTAGCGTGAGGGATTATGCAGGAGGATGGTTCGTTCTTGTCGTTTTCGGCATATCATCCAAAATCCAAGTGCCAGCTTTCATGTTTGTGCTGCGTATTCACGCGCTGCACAATTTACAGCCGGTTTTGCATTTGGTATGTCTTGCTGTGGGGCCCCTCGCGAGCTGTTTGTTTATTTATTTGAATTATTTCGAAGCTAAATGAAGGTTACTTTTGAGGCTGAAGGGTCTGAAATTGTAAAGGCAATCATGTAGAAAAAAAATTAAGGTTATGTGCATCAAGAAGTAACGTCAACGCAAGTGGTTTCTGCGGTGACGTTTGGCCGGATCTTTTGACTATTAATTGGACTTTGTAATGTGTAATGTTAATGGGCCTAAATAATCAAAGGGCTTCCTTTATTTTTGACAATCCACGAACTCTTTTTTTGTTGTTGTAATTTTTCTCTGATTTTGGGCTTTGTAGAAAATTATGGCTTGGATTCTACTTTGTGGTTCTTTGGCCAATTCATCTCATGATTTAATAATAATTAGAAACATGAAACTTCAAATTAATCTCAAATCTTTCCTTGAAATGGACAACGTTTTGGATCAGTCTGAAATGGAAAACAAACCTTGATCTTGTCCCCGGGATTAATAAATCAAAACCTTCAACCTGGAATTCCTTGGGCGAGAAAATGTTCTTTGTATGTGCCAAGAACTTGATTCATATACCATTAACCTGAATTAGCTCAGAATTTTGATTGAAGCTCCACCTCACCTGAATCATACAAGCCCTGACTTTCTCTCAAAGCAAATATGCACAGCTAAATCCACATCGCATCTGGGTTGAAACTATGATTACAATAGGGATCAAACCCTAACAAGTCTTAAATTACTCCTGTGATACTAACAATCCTGACTTAGCCTGGCCAGAGCTATGTAACGACCAGAGGAGCCTCAACCCACACTGTAATCCCTCCTGAATTGATAAAACCCAACTTAATTCAATTCAAAATCAGCCTCATGATAGAAACAACTTATGTTTGTTTTTTTTTTGAATTTTTTTTGGATAATTGAAGATGGATGGACGGGTGTACAGAATGAAAGTGACACGTACGGGTAAGACAAATTTGGGGTATGACATGTTGAAATTAGTAGGGTCATGTCCAGCTCAAAACACTTTTTTCATTTTGCTATGGTTAGACTTCACTCATTTTAAATATCTCCACTGAATCGAACTCCTCGAACATCGCCTTTCCTAAAAAATCGCATATCATTATATAACTCCCTAGACTTTTAAACATATGCTTAGTACTCATCTTTCTCACCCTCTCTGCATGACTTGGTGCATCATGGTTATCATAAACACAACTCATGCCATCAAATTTTTTACCATAGAAAGCGAGCTCCTCCAAATTTTCTGAAAGAAGAAACGCCATGGCAAGAACTACAAGAAATATTGCAATTTTCCACATGGTATTCACATCACTAAGTTAAAAACCACGTCACTGAACAAGATTTGCGACATGGGTAGAGCACGTCGGAAAAGCAACAGTGGAAACATTTTCCCACGTGAAATTCATGTCACTAATTTGTGACATGGAATTCACGCCACAAACCACCAAATTAATTTAAAAAGTTCCCACGTGAAAATCACATCACTAATTAGTAACGTGAATTTCACGTCGCAGATCACTTTTCCCAAAGTCCCTGCAGCGTGCTCAGTATTGCAGCATGAAAGGTTTCCCACGTGATTTCCATGGCACTAATTAGTGACATGTTTTCCAAGTCACTAATTAATGAATACAACGAATTAATAAATAATAAAATATAAAAATATAAAAAAATTTCAATTAAATTTTTTAATTTTTTTAATATATACAATTATTAGAAGATATAAATATTTAGTCACATTATATTCACGTCACAAACATAAAAAAAAAATTGTCACGTGATATTCACGTCACAAACATAAATAATAATAAATCAAAAAGTTATTCATCGTCACTACTAAATATAGCATCTTCGTCTTGTTCATCATCTTGGACAGAATAATTTGATTGTGAGGCAAACAAATGTCGCATTTGTGCCTCCATGTCAGATTGTCGCTTCCTCAATTCCTCTATTTCAGCAGTTTGCCTATTTCTCATATCCTCCATTTCGGCCTTTAGGGCCGCCTCATGTGCCTCCGCCTCTCGTCTCGCCTCAGATAGAGCTAACTCTCTCACTGTTGCCAACATTTCTGGTGTCAATTATGCTGGACGAGATTCTCCTTCCCCATCATCGAGTCTTTGAAATAAAGTTCGGTCCCCTTTTCTATAATCGCCAGCCAAATACCCAAGACAAAAAAAATACCCATTGACTCCCTTCTCGCCTACTGTTAAATTCCAAATATAAAGATCCACGCGTGGATCAAGCGGTGCATTCCCAATCGACATATAGTGAGGATTTTCGGTTAGAAATTGAGCAAGCATGGTCTGGTGCAACTCCTACACACACATTAAAAAATTAAATTAAAATAAATATAGTTTAAACAATTTAATTATATACAATAATAATGAAATAAAATAATTCAACTATAAACAAGTTACCAAGGTTGATTTTGAACGAACGTCAACAAACTCCCCCGATTTTTTGGTTCGGGTCTTCACAAATAGCTCATTAATTCGTGGCTCCCTCCCCAAATCCTTTTTCTAATTAAAATAATTAACTTTAATTAAATATATACTAATACTAAATAGAACTTAAAAAAATAGTTATAATTACCATTCATCGACGATGTTCGCCGATACTGATACTTCCAACTGTACTAAGGCAGCCCTCATCTTTTTTGCATGTTCAGATCTTCTCTAAAAATCTTCTGTCTTCCACCACTCAATAACTCGATTCCATATTTCCTCTGGTGACAATTGAGGAGGAGGAAAATCTTTTACTCGTACATCTTTTTTGAAATCAGTCTTGTTTCTTCTAAAGACATGGTCTCGTGGTAGGAATCTGCGGTGAGTCAAACCACAAACTTTTCCCCCCAAATTCCAAAGTAAAAGCCTTTGTAAATTCCATGAAACATAGACATCCCATTTTTCCATGCGTACCCCAACCAGATAACATTCCATAAGTGGGAAAATCATTAATAGTCTACATCAAGGCAACTCGCAAAGTAAAGTTTTGTTTGCGAGATATATCATAAGTCCATTCTCCAATCCACAACCTCTTCAAATCATCTATTAAAGGTTATAAATAAACATCAATTCTGGCTTTAGGACTTGACAGTCCTGGAATGAGGCAAGTCAAAAACATGTATGGTTTTGTCATGCACATCTCTGGAGGGAGGTTGTAAGGGGTTATGATGATTGGCCAACAGGAATATGCAATTGCGGATGCTTGGACATATGGAGTAAAACCATCAGAGTATAGTTCGAGCCTAACATTTATAGGCTCTGCAGCAAAATCAGAATGTACCCTATCAAAATTTTTCCATGCCTCACCATCAGATGGATGTCGCATAATGCCTGAACTTGTTTTGTTTGTATGATGCCATGTCATTTGACTTGCACTGTGCATTGAAGCAAACAATCTTTTTAACCTTGGTAAAATAAAACATGGACTTCACTGCTACACGTTTTTGTTTATGGTTAATGGCTTTACTATGAACTTGATATCTCGGAATCTTACAGAACTTACATTCCTCCAGCGCCTCATCATAATACCAAACTCATTGTCATAAAACAACATGCATCCATTTATGCAACAATCAATCTTTCGTACTTCTAAACCCAACTTCGACACCAATATCTTTGCATCATAATAACTTGTAGGCAAGTTGTCTTTCGTAGGAGTCGCATCCAACATCATTTTTGCAAAGTATTCCAAGCACTGATCAGGAACATTCCAATTTGACTTTGCAACCAATAATCTCACACATGTTGATAATTTTGATTATGTCGACTCCTCAAACAACGGTGTATTCATTTCTTTCAACAATTGGTAAAATCTTTGTGCTTCCTCATTCGGCAACTCTTCCCCATCAAAATCTTGAGGTTCATCATATGTCACATTTACTCCAAAGGCATTATCAGATTAAACTGTTCCTCAAATTCCATATGTGATTGACTGCTTGATGTGTGTGTATTAGTTGTCTCTGCATGTATGTTACTCGGCAGTTGTTCTTCATTATATGTCCAAATCCAATAATTTAAATGAAACTTTTCCTCTTCAAATGACGTTCTACTTCCTCTGAGTCACTAATTATGGGTCTACATTCACATTTAAGACAAGGACATATTACTCCTCCTTCACGTCGACAACATTCTTGTACAAATGCCCACGTGATAAACCCTTTAACTCCTTCCTCAAAATTTGGTGTAAGTCCACGTCTGCTTGGTAACGTTCTATTGTACATCCAACTACCATAGTAACAAAAATATTTCATACTGCACATTTGTACTATCATTATATATCATTTTAATTAAATATGTGATTTTAATATATGCAAAATTATATAATTCTTTTCACATTGTTTTAACCTAATATAAATAAAAATATTACTTCAATATTACTTCATATTATACAACAATATCTAATTATACTCAATATTTTGTAACATTGTTTTAAAAATATTTTATTACTATAAAAATATAAAAATATAAATACAAATATAAAAATATAAAATCTAATTATACATTTTAACCTAAAAATAAATAAATTTAATATTAATTATTTGCAAATTAATATTTTTTTTCTATTTGTTTTAATATTATATATTTTACGAATTATTTTTGTTTTAAATTCTATTTTTTTAAAATAAATTTGTTTTTATAAATTGTGTTTTTAATAAATCTACATAACATATTAATATAACTTTTCCATATTAGTTATATACTTTTTTCACAAGTAATTTTTTCTAAAAAATACTTTTTAATAAAAATACTTCTATTTACTAAATACTTTTTCTAAAAATATTTACAATTCTGTTTTCTAATCTACATAACATTATGCTTTCTGAAAAAAAAATACTTTTTAATTTTTTCTATTTACAATTTTGTTTACTAAAAATATTTTTAAAAATTTTGTTTTTTCTAAAATATAATATATATCTTGTTTACTAAAATATAATTTATAATGTGTTTACTAAAAATAATATATTTAAAATATAATATATATTCATTACTTTTAAAAATCTGTTTTTTCTAAAATTTATTTTTTATAATTCTGTGTACTATATATATATATATATATATATATATATATATATATATATATATATATATATATATATATATATATATATATATATATATATATATATATATATATATATATATATATATATATATATATATATATATATATATATATATATATATATATATATATATATATATATATATATATATATATATATATTGTTTTTAATAAAATTAACACATTTATAAAATATATTCTATTTTTACATAATAACAACCAAACAACCAAATACAAAATCTTATAAAACCTAAACAATTTCATATATAATCAATAAACTTTATTTTTATACAACAACATCCAAATATTCCATATACAATATTATTCATATAAATCTGAAAAATAAATAATTTAAATTACATAAATACATCAATGGAGCAACAATAATGCTTAAATCTTTAATCTTGATGAGCTCCTCTAGAATCTTTCAAATATTGATCTTTTGACAAAAAATAATTAATAATTCATAATGAGAAAATATTAAAATAAAATGTAAAACAAAAATAAAAAGAAAAAGAATAAAAAATAATAAAGAAAACATTAACCATACCTTTAACTTAAAATGAAAACTTGTAAAAAATATATGTGAAATGCAGTAAAGGCACGGAAAAGGAAGTAGACAAAACAAAATAGAAGCAAGCAGAAGGAAGAAGGAAGGAGAAGAAAGAAAAGAAAAGAAAAACGTGAAGAGTTCTGGAGAGTTGCATTATATATAATGTATTTTGTGACGTGGTAAAAACGTGAGAAAGTACCCACGTGAATACCATGTCGGAATATTCTCACATTTATTACTAGTCAAACTATACAACGGTAATATTAACATAAAAGCCAATATATATATATATATATATATATATATATATATATATATATATATATATATATATATATATATATATATATATATATATATATATATATATATATATATATATATATATATATATATATATATATATTCTATTATTTGTGACGTGAAAAAGACTTGGGAAAGTAGCCACGTGAATACCACGTCGGAACTTTCCCAGTATTTATGATCTGTCATACAACAATCGAAACACCCAACGGTAAAAAAATAAAATGCCACAATAATTTAAAATTAAGTTGCGACCTGGGTTGCACGTCGGTAGTTTTCCAAAGTCAAATCAGTCTTTATTATGTCCCAACTGTAAAAGCAAAATGCAGACCAAAATTAATTATTCCCTACTAGCGACGTGGGTATCATGTCGGAACGTTCTGACCTCTTTACCACGTCGAAAAAACAAGATATTTTTTAATTTCATTTTCCTACGTGGTTACCACACCACAAATGAAATTTTGGAATAATTCAAATTTCCCTTCCACGTTAAAGCAGCACTCACCATTACGAAATTTAAATTGGGCATGGTTATTAATTAAATAATATAGTGACGTGGTATACACGTTGCAACGTCTATTTTTTCCCACATTGTTACCACGTCACTAAATCACTTAGCAAATTGCATGTTTTCTTGTAGTGAAGATCTTGCAAATCACCTTCGAAAACTTTTTCTTCTCTAAATCTTTTAAGGCAGTAGCCTCCAAATAACTTGAAGCTTTCCCCTAATCTATTTTGTGCATTTTGGCCTTAGAAGAGAGCGATGGTAGCTTCACAACATAGATGGCCATCGTATGGATGATTATGCTCTCCTATACCGTTTTCCTCTTCTAAGAAATCATAGTTAACACCCTGGAAAAGTCGCTTTTTTGGTTGGTTGTTCCCACTTCACCTCTTATGGCTATCACCTTCTCCGTCGTCATATTATTTTGTGACATTGACAAAGGATACATCCTCTCTAAAAAGAGTAACATAAAAAGATATGGAAGAGAACAAATAAATATTAAGAAAGCAAGTTAACAAAATACACTTACATAACTACTTATCAAGGATTGGTTTATCCTCTTCATATTCCTTCAGTTCCCTAACATTCTAAACACATATTTGTTCTAAAAATTGGACACTATCCTTTTCTGCCTCACTAGGTTTTTCAAAATCATTACCCACAATTGACATAAGCTCGTCCATCCGTTAGAGTAGAAATCAGTGTGTTCCATCCTCCTTAAAACCAACGTTCGAATAGTTTGTATTATCTTGTATTCTGACATGTTTGTCCTTATAATTCTTGTAATTAGAACACTGAGGTTTAAAATTAATTAAACTTTTTAAAATTCTATGTATGATTGTATTATAATTTGTTTTTTAAATGTTTATATTATATATTGGGAAACAACAATTAAGTTTGGAACTAGAATAAACATAGATGGTATGAATTCATTCCTTAAGTTAATATGCTTTGGTTAAAGGCATAGTACATAATAATACATAGAATTAATGGTATATTATGTTGGAGGAGTTTATCATTAGGGAGCATTGAACAATGGGTCAAGAGCAACACAAGTGAGAGAGACACCACATATTCACCTAAAACCTTAAGGTGATAGGTGTATGGGTTCTCCCACTTATAAATCACACTTGTTATATTATTCCAACACTCCCCCTCAAGTGTGAGTCCACGATACTCCCCCTCATGTGGTCTTTTTATCTACATATATTTGTATCACCGTTGAAACCTATTACTAGGCACCTCTTAATAGGTATTTCGAATACACCTCTTCCTTGGGCATTTCGATTTCAACAGGACACCACTTCTTGAGCATTTCGATACATGTAAGTTAGTCCCTTTACGAACCAAAGGTTCATGATACCATGTTAGAGGAGTTTTACACTAGGGTGCATTGAATATTAAGCCAAGAGCAACACATGTGAGAGAGACACCACATATTCACCCAAAATCTTAAGGTGATAGGTGTATGGGTTATCCCACTTATAAATGCTCAAGTCACCACATTCTCCCACAATGCTCCCCCTCATGTGGAAACTCTTTTTGTCCGCATATATTTGTACCGCCGTTGACACCTATTACTAGGCGCCTCTTATTAGGTATTTCGAATATACCTCTTCCTTGGGCATTTTGATTTCAACGCGACACCACTTCTTGGGCATTTCGATTTCAATGCGACACCACTTCTTGGGCATTTTAATACATGTAAGTCGATCCTTTTCTCGAACCAAAGACTCATGATACCAGTTTAGAGGATTTTTACACTAGGGAGCATTGAATATTAGACCAAGAGCAATACAACTGAGAGAGACACCACATATTCACCCAAAACCTTACTAGGTGTCAATGGCGGTACAAATATATGTGGACAAAAAGAGTTTCCACACGAGGAGGAGCATTGTGGAGGAATGTGGTGATTGAACATTTATAAGTCGGAGAACCTATACATCTATTGATCGTACCTGACCAAAGAGATCGTTGAGCTGCCACGCGTCTGAGCTGTCGAACTGTTGACTTGATGAACAGAGGGGGGTGTACCTGAAACACACTTTGATGCCAAAGTAAGTGACGAGCAGAGTGATAACAAGTACAGATAGAAGAGTAAGAAAGTTTAGTTACCTGGCCCTCTAGTGGAAGAGGGTATTTATAATGAGCCCCCGTCATAAGGCCAACGGTTACTCTGCGTTGGGCTGGGCTGCAAGGTCCAACGTAGGTAACTGCTAGGGCTGACGTGGCATCGTGAAGTCCAGA